GGCTTTGACTCTTGGGCTCTGAAGTTTCTGGCTCGCTGTTAGTAATAATAACCAAAACATGGTCTGGCCTAGAGTGGGGGCAGCCTCAAGTTTAGTAGACCCCAAATCCACTACTTATTTTGATCTCTTTTTAAATTCAGGAATAAGTTTTCCCAAACAAAGGAAAACTGTTAAACTTCTCAGGCAGTGAAATAATAGTACTTCTGGACATGGAGTAAAACAAAAGTATATTTTAAAAGTATAAATGAAGCTAAAAATAAGGGATTCTTTTGAAGGATATTCACAATCATTTGGTAGCTCTCCATTTACACTTCCGGTTGTTTCTTTTGAAGGACTATTCAATCAATCATTGTTTAACCCTGGCAAGTCCAAGAATTAATTACTTATGATTCTAAAATTCAATGTTTTCAAAAGATTGAAGTCTTATAAATACAACTGGAGAAAAAGAGCTGCCCCTAAAATATTATTTTTTCAGTTATATTTTACCCATTTTAACATGGTTAGTGGTAAAAATATATTGCAAACTCAAACATTTAATTGACAGTATTTAGAAAAAGCAGCGTTATCAGAATGAGCTGAACATTCTTGTCTTGGTGCCTTGCTAGTAATTTTTCCATTTATTGCTCTCCCTTTCCACTCCCTGATTCCATTACTGCCACTCCCAAATCATCCCCCCAAAAGTGCTAAAGCTGCAAGATGTGGACAAAGATAGCCTTCAAATAATCCAGACAGGAGACTCTACATTTTAGGGGGGCATGTGCTCAGGCCTCTGCTTTAATTATAAGATATATTATCAGGTCAGTTAATAACTGAAGAAATAATTGTTTTTTCTGCTTCCTGTAAATTAGTTGAAAAGAGGATTAAAGATTCACCAGAAATATAGGCCACTATGGAAACCAAGTGTAAAGAATAGTAGGTCTGAATTCTTGCTCTCAAAAGGCTAGTCAAATGCTCCTTTCTTATCGGTGACCATGACTGAGAGGGCTCCCTGCGTTAAATTGAAAGTCGCTTGTGTTTCTGTGTCTATTCATCCTATATTTTGGTGAATGGAATGTTATTTGGAACCTTTCTAGACAAAGCAAATCAGACCTTTTGCAAATATAGTAATTGTCTCCAACTGCTCAGTGAAAGGGAAAAGTATGAAAAACAAACAGAAAACAAGAGAATGACAGGGTCATCAAATGAGGAAGAAAAACTGAAGAAATACACAGGAGTGTATTTAAGCTGAAGACTTGTTTGTGTTCACTGTCAGAATTTTCCATGCCCCACACCCATTCCCTCCTTGTCATCTTCTAAACTAATACTAGGGAAGAATTTAATTGATAAATTTGAATAAGATGACGTGTATAGAGAAATGCAGAATAAAAATAGAAAATCAAAATTAAGGAATGTAGAGAAGCCAAGTAAGTGGGGGAAAAAATGCAGTCAAATAACTGGGAAGAAGAACTGGATAATACTCAATACACCAGAAGACATAAAAACAGAATTCTTTTGAGAGGACATTCAATTAAAACCAAAAGTTGCTTTTGGTAAGTTTACTAAAAAAAATATTGTTGAAATTCTTTGATTGAAACTGAGTATCCAGTGTTAACACATAGAATACTTTCAACTTATATGAGGCAAACCACAGAAAGGTTAAAAAAAATCAGGCATTTCATATTTATTTTTAGGTTCACAATTAACTAACTAAAAAAGACTTATCCCCCTGTTTAAGCTGATGTATAATTAAGGTATCTGAGTACAAAGAATTTGTCTCTAAAGCTAAATTAGAATGTAGGAGGCAAAACCTGAGACTTTTCAGGTACTCTTTTTTAAAAATATAAAACTTCTGAAAATATTATCTATTTCTTCAAATAAGTCATTGCGAAGCTGTTGTAGGTGAGGCACTCTGATTGGTGCCATGGGGGATATAGAGACAAAATAAAGTTTCTTTCTACACTAGTTTATAAAAGGCTGGTAATCCGAGGAGGCTAGAATAAATGCTTCCTGAAATTGGGTTATCTTAGACCATGCCTAGTAGTTAAGTTTTCTAGTTAGTGCAGAGTTGACCGATGTAGGCATCCAGGCCTTTTATTTTAAAATAAATAAAAGTGGATGGTAGGGACACAGAACCTACTTTAATCCTTTTTAATCCCTTTTTAATTATGTAGAATCATCCCATGAGCACAAGCAACCGTGCTGAACCAGAATGCAGTCGCGCTCTCAGGGCTTAGCAAGTATCAGACTGTTTGATCTGCACCCCATGGTGTCAGGCTGTTCTGCGTGGCCATCATGAGCATCATTAGTGATTGCTATTTAATGAGCCCCCCTTCTCAATTTTAAGAACTTGTTCATGTTAAATATTAAGCGCTTTTTAACGCTTACCACAACCTCTACGAAATAGGTACTGTTCTTATTTTATGGACACTGAGGCTTAGAAGTGTAAGGACACTTGCCCACATTCGTGAAGCTTGTGGGTGCTCGAGTCAGGGTTCAAACCCAAGGCTAACTCTGGCGCTGATGGTGGCATCACTGTTCTGCAGGACTGCAGCCTTTCATCTGAATTCTGAAGTCCAAAAAGCTCTAAACATTGAAGTTCTTTTTTTATACCTTTGGTGCCAGAACTCATTCCGTGGCAAAACCTGGCCTGAACTGACCCGAGGCCATGGTCTTTATCCCGCTCAGTGTAAATGTTCACAGATTTCACTGCAGCTAGATTGTGTCTACATAATAGGCCATATTACACAATGGACGGACGGACTCTTTTTTACCTTGCTAAAATCTGAAAATCTTGAAATCTTGAAACCATGTAGCCCCATGGGTTTTGAGAACAGACATGAGCCTGACCGCCCCTTGCCACCTGGCGCCTGCCAGCCCACTCTCCCTTCTCCCAGCCCTCCCTCCTCACCCTGCCCCCCGCTTCTAATTTGCTGCTCCTGCTGTGCTGTGGATGTGGAAATTTAAGCATGTAAACTTTCACTACCCAAAAAACTCAGATGATTTTTTAAACTCCTGAGTTCATACTGGTACTCCCAGTTCCAGTTCAGCGCCACAGGGTTCTTTCTCCTCTTCCCCCATTCCCTAACTTCCTTCTCCTACAGGGGGAACATCAACATTTGTTTTGTGCTTTTAAAAAAAATGTCCTTTCTGTTTAACCAGGATGCAAAGTATTCCTCCTGATATGTGAAAATGTAGATGTACATTTTAACTTAGATAATCCTTCATTTATAATAAGATTCACTGTGATTTGTTTTAAATATCAGCATTTTTACTGCACTTAAAATGATTCATTTTAAAAATGATATTTAAATAGAACATTTTAGAAATGATGTATATTATCTGAAATAAAGCAACCGAGTCATTTTAAATGTTAATTGTCTAAGGCCAAATAAATGTGCGTAGAGTAGATGTCGGAAAGTGTTTGCTGGGATATTACACCCCTTACTTGGAGTGAGTATTTTCCTTTGAGGAAAAGTGAAAGACAGAATCATCAGTTAAAGATTTACCAGAGGCCTTCAATATACTCACTCAGAATGAGGGAAGAAAGGAGTGGATTTTTTAAGACCGATCTTTTATTCTAACTATTTTGAAAATGGAGAAGGTGGGGTGAGGGGTCGGGGTGGGGAGAAGGTTCTGCAGATGGTTTTCAAAAGTGGGTTATTTCTAGTCTTATTAGGTGCAGAGAGGAAAGGAATAAACCAGAACTTGGCTGGAAGTGTTAGAAAATCAGATTTACTTCTGAATCTCTTAATTTGCTGCCTTCATCACATTTGGAAGAATGAGGTGAGTTTGGAGGAGAAAATTGTTAGATGAGCCCTCCTTCTCTCTCTCTGGGCCTGGCCCCAAGGTTGTCCCTTTCTGAACAGCCGCCAGGGAGTATGGAGCAACGGAAAAGGCTATTGAGTGTGAGGGAGTTGGGATGGACCCCTAAGGATCACAGAGGATAGAAGAAGGACTAATGTTTATTTTGAACACTTGCTCTGTGTCAGGTTCCATACACGTTATCACATTTAGTCTTTACAAAACCAGGTTTCATCCCCATTTTCCAGATTAAGGCAGCTGAGGCTCAGAGAGGTTAAGCTTAGCAGAGGTTTCCCGTACCCAAAATGGAGGAGTTGGGACTGAAGCACATTTCTGTCCCCAAAGCTCATGTCCTTTCCATCGTGTCCTTCATCCCCCAGCCATCGTTGGGTTTACAGCAGGGCTGGGGCTTGGGGGCAAGACCAGTCACGGAACTACCCTGGTCACATGGCAGCCGGGGAAGGGGCTCGGGTTTCCGCTCTCAGGTGGCCAGGTACCTTTTCTCTCACTGTGCCCTAGTTACGTAAATCTTATGCGCGGCCAGCTCAGGGCAACCAACCGAAGACTCCCTGACCTCTGTCTTTATAGTCAACACAGTGTCTTCCCCTCTTGGATGTGCCATAGTAGATCAGTCCCCTTCTGAGCGCCCCCGGGGAGCTGGTTTCTCGGGCACGTCCCGAGTCCTGTGTCTCAGTCAGAGCTGGGGTCTGTGGCCGCTTCCCAGAGTGACAGAGCTCTGGGTCCTGAAGAAACACATTTGAAGAAAATCTTAAGAAACAATCGGCACACAGTCAGTGAATATTTGTGGAATGAATGGATCTTTTGCCTTCTGGAAACCCCTATGAACAGGAGTGGATTTACATGTTCTCCTACTTTTGTGCTTGGCAGTTTTCCCACAGTGTTTATTTGAAAACAAATTCCGATTATATCCCAGGTCACTTTTATATTGCTGCTGGTAACACTAGGAATGTATTTGTGTTAAAAACAACAACAACAACAACAACCCTGCTTTCAAGGTTGCCTCTTGGAATAAGTGTTCTTTTTCTATTCTAATTAGATTATTTTCTTAAATTCTCTATTTCAAATGATAAAAATTTAACTAGAGACTGTAGGATTATTTAATTTTCTCTTCCTAACCAGTAACTGTGCTACCATTAGAGCACTTTATTATTCCATCTGTTAGACTGTAAACTCATGGAACATTTTTCGTCTCTTAATAGGGAGAGATAATGCGTGTGAGAAAACTTCATATATGTTTCTACGAAAGGAGCTTCCTGTGCGACTGGCTAACACAATGCGAGAAGTTAATCTTCTGCCTGATAATTTGCTTAACCGCCCTTCAGTGGGATTGGTTCAGAGTTGGTAAGTAAATAATGTGGCTTCAGATGGGTCTTCCCATAGTGCTCTGAACATTTGGCATTGGGACCATTCTCCCTAAAAGTCCCCATCCTGCCTGTGTGGGAATGAGTCATCAGGATAGCTGGGCTTTCCAGACAATTAAGTTTGTTTTTTTTCAACTGGCAATTTAAATTGTCTTAATGAACATACTTCTAAACTCTACTAGACACTTTCTTCACTTTTCAATATTTTTTTGTGGTTATAAATGTGATCGCTTATCGAAAAAAATTGGAAAGTACAGAAAAATATACAGGAATAGCAATGCAGGTCTGCAATCCTTTGGCTGGGGGGATGTTGTCACTTTGATCAAGTCTCACCCATGTTCCTTTCGTTTTCCTTTGAAAGAAGTTCTTTGGATGCAGTACTTCTCTTAGAAAAATTAAGTCATTTAAAGGGAACCTCAGATTGGAAAAATATCAGTGCCTGCTGTGCTTCATTTGCCCGGGGAAAGTATGAAAAATCTTAACAGTATAACTGAAAGTTCAATTGGGTGTATCTCTGATGCTTAAAGTGTATGTTATTTAATTGAGGAAGTTGTATTTGTGACTAAACTACCCGCTAGGTAAGCAGGGTGAGGTTGGTGAGTGGTAGGATGTAAGAGCAGGCGTGCATTTTTAGAAAGGGATTTGCATAGATTCGAGAAACACTTGCATGTCTCCTCTGTATTATAAAAGCAAGGTAGATGTCAATGTGGAGAAGGCTGGAGGAGTTTGGGAGACCAGACACAAAAAGTGCTCTCAAGCCAGTACAGAGGAAGTGCTGTGGGAGCATAGAGGCAGAGGGGCATGCCAACTGTGGCTTTGCACTGCCCCTTGATGGGTGGGTGGAATTGGCAGGGACAAGGAGAACATTTTAGGGGAAGAGAATGAAGTGGACAGATGTAAGGAGAATGGAACTATTAATTAGTTGCATTTAAAGGGTTAATGGGGGCCAGGCTGCTGAATGAAAGTGGACATCCAACAATCATTCGTCAATAATATTAATTATAATAAATTCTTAGGGTTGAGAATGAATTGTCGGAGAAACACTGTATTGGGTGGTCTTAGAGATCCAGTGTCCAGTTCCTGTCCCAGACAAGCAGCAGCTCCTCACTGTGCCAGGCGTAGGGACCGACCCTAGAATCCAGGAGAGATCAGAGAGATGACGACGGTGGCTTTGAACTCATAGTGAGTTGCATTCTACCCTAAATTTGTAGCTTATTTCAGAAGCAGCAGCAAGTACTTGTTTGCATGAGACTTCTTTATTGCTTCAAGACCATCATTAGAAATTTTCCAGCAGAGAGTATATAATCACTCTTGGGGGTCACAGTGGTGGAGATTCTAGGTAGGGTAGATGACTTTCAAGGCCCTGGTCCTGGTGGCAGTGACGGTCAGCCGTCTACTATTGCTTATGTAAAAGTTACTTCAGGGCCGGCCCAGTGGGGTAGTGGTTAAGTTTGTGCGCTCCGCTTCAGCAGCCCTGGGTTCGCAGGTTCAGATCCTGGGTGTGGACCTTTACACTGCTCTTCAAGCCATGCTGTGGCAGGCATCCCACATAAAATAGAGGAAGACTGGCACAGATGTTAGCTCAGGGCCAATCTTCCTCACCAAAAAAAAAAAAAGTTACTTCAGGGGCTTCACAGTGAATTGCTGACCAAGTATAGACTCAAACAAATTACTGTCAGCTTTTTTTTTTTATCTCCTCACCATTCCTCTTCCATAGCTGTTCCAAACACATGCATGTCATTTCTTCCTTTTCTTTTTTTCAACATTCACTTTTGAAATAATTTCCTACTTAACAGAAGGATTCCAAGACTAGTAGCAAGAACTCCCATATACCTTCACCCAGATTCACTAATTGTTAACATTTGGCAGTATTTGTTCTGTCACTCTCATTCATATTCTCTCTCTTTCCATATGTGTGTGTTTGTGTGTGTGTGTGTATACGTATGGTACACCATACACATATATACGGTACGTACACACACACACACACACACACACACACACACACACACACACACACGTAATACATACACACGTTATTTTTTTTCCTGAACCCTTTGGGTTAATAGTAGCCATCAGGCCTCTTTACTCCTAAATACTTTAGTATGTGTCTCCTTAGAACAGCTCTTAGAAAACCACAGTATGATTATCAAATTTGGGAATTTAACATTGATCCAGTAATATTTTCTAACATGTAGAACTTGTTCTCATTTCATTAATTGTCCTAATACTGCTTTCTTTTTTTTAAGCAATCTCCCCCTCCCCCAATTTAAGAATCCAGTTCAGGATCATGCACTGTGCTTAATTGTCGTTTCCTTTTCCTCTTAAAAGTGAATCTTCTGTATAATGGGCGTGACTCCCACCTCAGTCAGAGTGTGTTCTCCTTGCTCTCTTGACTTTCAGGCTAGGAAGCTCAGTGCTATCTTGGACTGCTCTCCATTTATGGCTTTGCTCTTTAAATGAACTATCCCCTTTCAGAAGGATGCGATGCCTCCCTAAAATTCTGCTGCCATGTGGCAGGACGGAGGGCATCACTGTGGATGGCTGACTTTGGCCTCTCAGGGGGGTTTGACCTGAGGATTGCAACAGTATCCATAGCCTTATATGCCCAGAGGCTTTTAAAAAAAATATACCCAGGGGATGAGCATATTTCAGTATCATGCATTGTCACAAAGTCCTAGTGAGGCTGATTAATCAAACATCATTCCTATTTATGTATTTACAAGCTTAACAGTCATTTTTAGTTACTGGAGTGCCCTCATCCTCTACCCAAAGCTGGATAGGATTAGTGATAATTAATTGTTAGAAATCATTAGAATAAGGGATAATTCTTTCAGGACATGTTAAGACCCAAAGCAGAGATCACACACCTCTGAGTAATTGGAATCTCTGAATCCCCGCTAGATCTGGATGTAGCTGCTACAGTAATGTGCCTCTCTGAATCCCATTTTTCTCTGTTCTCCAGATCTTTATGTTGGACACATTATATCTTGTACTGGCCCTGATTGAGATATGTAGCTATTCTTAATCCAGAAGCTATTTCTGAGAGCCTAAGAGGCATTCCTTCTCCTGCATTACATGTTGATGAAATTAGTCTAACTCTGAGAAGGAACCTTAGTTTCTAAGTTCTTAGCATGCACTTCAGTGTCACCCATGTGTTTCTTATAATTTGTATGCACTTTTTTTGGATAATCAAACTATAGACTTAGTGTTATCAGTTAGGGTATGTTTATTTGTAAATAGCAGAAAATCCAACTCAACTTGGCTTAAACAATTGGCTTGTGTACCTGTTAGACCCAGCCATAGGATGAGCTTTTGCTTTTGGTTTGGTTCAGAGATTCATTAGATTATCAAGGTCCTGCCTTCCGTGGTGTTGGCTTCATTTTCAGGCTGGATTTTCTCCTGGTGACAGAATAGCTGCAGCATTTCCAGGCTTCACATCCACATAGCACACTGTACAAAAGCAGAGCAAGTTGATTTCTCTCCCAAAGACCTTCAGAAAGTCTTCTCTCTCATTTTACGGGCCTGAATTGAGGCAGTATGCTCATTCGTGAGCCAATCTCTGTGTTGAGGGGAATGCGACGCAGTGATAGGCTTAGACCTGGACTATCGGACTAATTAGGAATTAGTGACAAGAGAAATAGGATTACCCAGAGGAAAATCGGGCTACCCAGGAGCTTTGCGTGGCATCAGCTTTCTCTGAAGCACTTGGGCTACAGGGGGGGGGAGAGAATGGGAGGGATGAGTGAAAATTTGGGGTACTCTTAGGAAGAGGGAGAGGAGGAATGGATGTTGGGTAGGTAACTAACACAGTAACTCTTCTTTTTCAGGTACATGCAGAGCTTTCTTGAGCTTTTAGAATATGAAAATAAGAGCCCTGAGGATCCACAGGTCTTGGATAAGTAAGTATGGCCCCAAACTTACCTGAAAGTAAAAATATTTAGGTAAAAAAAGTTTTGGTAAATGGAACTCACGTCGTTAAGAACCAAGAAGTATAATTTGGACGAAAGCATTAGGTTTCTGAATGGGTAACAACTCAACATTGCATTTTTTAAAAATTTGAGTTAGGAATTTAACATAGTACAAAAGGAATAATGACACTTCAAATTATGCTTCATGATCTCATTCCTAATACTGTTACTCATGGTGAACTGGTGCGGGGCATTCACTATAAATATTGCAGTAAATGTTCCACCTAGTGGTAGTTTTAAGAATGCAGTGACCTCTATATTCATGAATTTATCTCCTCTTATACAATTCTTTTTTAAAAAATTTCAGTGTGATATTACATTTGAGCTCACACTGTACTGCTTTTATTTGGAGCAGCATAAAAGAGTGTGGTTTTTATATAACATACTGAATTCTGTTGCTATTATGCACAAAAACTGGTAAATTCCCATGCTGATGGAAAATATTTCTGTTTTTCATTTTCATTTAACCAGAAAACACTAACCCTAGCTCTGAGTGTGGTTTGTTCCCCCAAGAGAAATTAAGTATCCCCTTCACATTACTTTCCTCCTCTTTCATGTACACATGAATGGATGCCTATGGCAGACCCGTTGTGCTGAGGAATTTCTTTCTAAGTAGAAACCTGGTCCACACAACTGTGAGACTGACCACCTTACATCTAAGTGCTTCATAAAAAGAACTAGGGAAACACCACGTTATACAAGACCTTAGCTCGAGGCATTTAACCCAGCCTCTCAATTCACAGATAACAAACTGAGGGCACGAATATGAAGTGACTTGCCCAAGATTGTAACATCAGTTAGGAGCAGAGCTGGATCTGTAAATCATGTTTTCTTTTCCTCAGCACATTGTTCTTTACAATGTACCAGACTGCCAGAACTGCTGATTTGAGCCATGAGTTGCTAGCTCAAGTTTAGTGGTAAATGAAAATATAAAGAGAAAAAAGTCCTGACCTGTTTTATACTTTGCTAGGCATTTTGTTGAATGGATCTGTGCACTGTGGAAGGGAGGCATTGGGTTAGAGCCCCAGAAACAGTGTTTTCCTTGCTGTCAGCCATTGCCGTCAATTACGGTATTGAAATTAAATGAATTGAATCTAGAAGCTTTGTTTTCTCAAGCCATTAGCTAGTAACAGTTTGGCTGATACCCTAAAAATTAGGACTGAAGGACTGACCTCTCTAGCTTCAAATTTTAAGATATAGATTCGTGGAAGTAGATGATATCACATTTCTGCTGTGTGTTTCCCAGGGGTCTGTCTCAGTTTCTGGAACAGGTTATCAGGCAGATGCGATTTATGGACATGAGCCTGCTTTGTCAGCTGCCAAGTGCTGGATCCAGTGTGGGCGATGTCATAATGATAATAGCTCTCACTGAGTGAGTTGCGGTAACCTGCCCAGGTTGACACAGCTAGTTAGGAGAGTTGGGAGTTTAGAAGCCTGATGCTCATGGTGAAGGAAGGAGTGAGAGGTGAGTGAGTCGTTTTACTCGGAGTAAGCGGCCTTTTCTGTTCAGTGAGAGGTTATACAGGAGTCACAGGCAGGGAAGTCATTTTAGCAAAGTGCAAGTGGCTTAGAGGACAAGCCTGTTTATCATACTGATAAAGTTTAGAAGAGCCCCAGAAGATTGGGGAAGTATTCTGAGAATTGAACTGTTGGGGCAACTCTCTTCCCTTCAGATAAATTGAGGCTCTTCTCCACTATAATGAAATGTTTCATTTTAGTAATATTTAATTTATAAATATGTTGGAAAGAGCATTATGTAAAAGACAAATTGTCCATTACAAAATTTCTTGTGAATAATTATGACCTAATTTCAGAGTTGATTTATTCATCTTTACTGTCTTTGTACATTTGTGTTTGTTACGGAAATATTTCATCAGTGAGAACAATAAGATTATTCAGATAAGTAAAAAGAAAGTGACTCCAAATTTCCAGTGCCAGGGGGCAACCACTGTTAACAGTTTTTTTCCATCCATACTTTTTCCTAAGCATGCATATTTCTATATGTGCAAAATATTTTTTTTTCAAAGATAACAGTGTGGACATTATAGATCTACACCATTATTACGAGTTTCATAATGCTCCATCTGCAGATAAGTTGTGTGATTTGACCTCCAATCGTTGGGTTTTCGAATGGTTTGTAGTTTTGTGGTTACTACGAACAGCACTCTAAAAAACAGCTCTAAATACAGCTGTTGGCCTTGTCCTGTTAGTTTCCTAGGATCAGTTCCTGGGAGTGGAATGACTTCCTTTGGCTTTTGATACATGTTGCTAGATTGCCCCTAGAGATGCGTCAGTTAGGCTCCCACGCTCTAGCTGACGCTGGTTATTCTTTGCCAGTCTGGTAGGTGGAGACTAGTATTACATTGTTTTAATTTGCTTTTCTTTTATTATTTTGAAGGTGACGTTATTGGCACTTGAGTTTCCTCTGTGGTACCAGATCTCTTGCCTAGTTTTCTGTTAGGGTACTCTTCTTTTATTAAGGATAGTAACTCTTGCAAATATATTTGCCCAGTTTTCACTTTGGTTTTTGGCTTTATAATGTGTGTCCTTTTAGAATTGCTGAAATTCTCCATGGTCGTATCATTGAATTCTTTGTGGTTTCTGCCTTTGGTACTAAATGTAGAACAGCCTTCCTTACCCCAAGGTTATATACTTATTCACCTGATTTTTTTTTTAATCTTTTGTGTGATTTCATTCTTTTACATTTAAATCTTTTAGCCCATTTTTTGGCGCAAGGCTTGAAATTGGGATGTGACTTAAATTGTTAGGCAGCTGTCCCAACTAATTTGATTGTTTCTCTACTGACCTGCAATGTCACTTTATCAATATGCTAAATTTTTATACACACACACTTATTCACCCTTGGGCTTGGTTCCAAGCTTGTTATTTGGTTCCATTGACTTGTCTGTCTATTCTGTTTTTTTTTTTTTTTATGTGAGGAAGATCAGCTCTGAGCTAACATCCGTGGTAATCCTCCTCTTTTTGCTGAGGAAGACCGGCTCTGAGCTAACATCTATTGCCAATCCTCCTCCTTTTTTCCCCCAAAGCCCCAGTAGATAGTTGTATGTCATAGTTGCACATCCTTCCAGTTGCTGTATGTGGGACGCGGCCTCAGCATGTCCGGAGAAGCGGTGCGTCGGTGCGCGCCCGGGATCCAAACCCGGGCCACCAGCAGCGGAGCGCGCGCACTCAACCGCTAAGCCACAGGGCCGGCCCCTGTCTGTCTGTTCTTAGTTACCATTTTTAATATATTTTTCCTACAATAATATACCAGAATACTTGAATAGGTTTGTTTTAATTGCCTTTGTTCTATCTACACTTGATCACTATATTTTACTGCTGTGAGAAATTTATTTCAAAATTTTACTCTTAAAAAGTTTGAAATTATTTATTCACGGAAGCAATTGCTTTGAGACTCCAAAATAAATCCTTGGAGATTTTTTTGGGTTGTCCTCATGTTGTCAGAAAAAATATTAATATGTTCTGCAGTTATTTATTCAGCAAACATTTATAGAACCTGTATTATATGTAATCATTTATCCAAAAAGTCAGTGGATTTCTGAAAAGGTATTTGAGCATTTTTTTTATTTACTAGAACCTTTTACTTTTTGTGTCTCTGAAAAGAGAATTTCTGTAGAAAGTTTCAAGCAAAAACTTGGATAATGCTTTAGTTTATCGTGAGTACTTCCTTGTAGTCTGTAATGATAATGATGTGTCTGCCTACAAAAATACTAGCAGATAAACTGTCCAGAGACGGATCTGGGAAGTTTATGCATCAGCCCATGAGATATAAAGACTGACCACTTTTTGTTTCTCTCCCACACAGCTTTCTACAAGTTCTGATTAAAGTCAGAAATAGACACAATGATGTGGTTCCTACAATGGCACAAGGAGTGATTGAATACAAGGAGAAGTTTGGGTTTGATCCATTCATTAGCAGTAACATCCAGTATTTTCTGGATCGATTTTATACCAACCGCATCTCTTTCCGCATGCTTATTAACCAGCACAGTAAGTTGGGTTTTTGGTCCAGTTTTGAAATAGTAACTGGGGTTATTTCTCCCACATGTTTTCCTATTGCTTCACTTTTAATTTACTGATCTGCATTTTTGTCTGTAGAAATTTCTTGTTCAGTTTTTCCTAGGTAAATACTATCTATTTAAAAAGCTGTTCATTAGGATTCTTTGTTAAGAGAAATCCTTGAAAGACTTTTTTGATGCTCATATTCAAGACAGGACCACTGCCTGCCTTTTAAGCCTCTGCTGTTACATTCCTGGTGGGGGTGAGGGACCGGCTTTAATGGCAGCTGGGCATTCATCTCTCAATACTTTCATGTGTCTCTGAGAATGTGTTCTAGTCTTTATCCAGGATGTTACATGTCTTCCTTTTTGGTTTTAAAAACATTGACACTGGGAATATTGAGTTGGCATGTTGACAGTATGAGCAATCAATCTTTTATTTCACAGTGATCAGTGAAATCAAATTAAGTGAATGTCAAATCATAATCTCATATTGAGAGTTTTAGTTCACTCTCCAGGTTGATAAGCAGATAAGAAAAAAACACCTAAAATTCTCTCCACAAAAAAAATTTTGCCTCATTTTCAGCATCATCTCTTTGCCTGATTTCATAATTCTTATGAAAAAGCATCCACGTGTCTAGAGTCTAAATCATCCTCTTTGCTGAATCAGAAAATGGACAGAGCATCTTTATCGTACAAATTTGATTTATTTGGATAAACGAGTATTACACAACTATTAAATGTGGGTTGGTCCTAAATGCATATATTTTAAAAATAGAAATATATGACAATTTACAGGAAATTTAAAGGGAAAGAACCTAAATACTATTCAACTAAACTACTTAGATAACTACAATTTCTTTCTGACCTAAATATGTGTGTCTACATATATGTGTATGTGTTTTTAGATCATTGATTAAGCTTGTATACCTCTGGTTTTCACTTAATCAGTTGGAACTTTATGTATTGGCCTAATGCCTGTAGTTGTCATTTTTCATTTAAAATCTCCCCTATGTTATTTAAGCCTTTTCCTTTTGTAGAATCTAAGTTACTCCCAATTTTTGTTTGACTTAAAAATAAGTACACCTATACACATACAGATTCAGATTACTTTTTTCTTTGGGGCTCCTTTTGGCTTTTATTCAGAAGTAAAATTTTGCAAATCTTGTGTATTGTGAAAGTATTTGAATGTACTTTTAAAAATACTTGAATAAATATTGTTCATGTATACTACATTGAAAAATAATCTCCATAATGGAGGCATTTGAAATGTTCACAGTGAAGACATTTTGCAAGCCTGGCCTGATGGTGCAGACTGCATTTTCTAAATATTTAGTGAATGTTGGAATAAATGTCTGGAGTAGTACTGAGAAGGTTGGTAAACTTGGCTAAGGATGAAAGTAAATTTTTTCATCCAAGTCACATTGGGCCGGGGAAAAAGGGTTGGACAGCCGGCGCATGCCACTAATTTAGGACCTGCTGACTGCAACTGGCAGGTCTTAAAGCATGTCTTTCTTCCTTCATTGTCCAGTAGAGTTGATCACCTATCATTGTATGTATTCCATAGCTTTAAGTCACTGTGGATGCTAAAGTGATTCTTAGAGAATCTTTCAAAACTTATAAACCTCTGTGTTTCTCTGCATGACCATCCCAGCCTGCTTTGTTTTTAATCTCTCCCTTCCCTTTTTTGTTTGTTTAGCACTTCTGTTTGGTGGTGACACTAACCCTGCTCATCCTAAACACATAGGAAGTATTGATCCCACCTGCAACGTGGCTGACGTAGTGAAAGGTAAGGAGACCATTGTAATAGCGATTGTAGTTGAAATAGGATTGTGGTTTAATTGAGGCAGCTTGTCTATCGGGTTATGTTGCTAAGTTGTATGCTGATTCATCAGGCCACTCTGGGGTCAAGCCACTTGATCCAAATATGACATGTTCTTTCTAGACAGTTCAGGAAAAGATGCATAATTAGTAATGCTCAAAATGGGAGTTTCTACTTCATTGACTAGGGTTTTACCTGTAGTTCTATCTTAAAGAGTAAACACTTGTTAGCTTAAGTAAGATTCTAAGTTTTGATGGCCACCATTATCTGAACATTTCAGAGAATGGAAATCCTCGTTATGAAATCTGACTGAATTCACATGCTTGTAAAATTTAAACATCCTTCTGATGTGCACCCCGGGTTTTAGAATCTGCATGACATGTGGGCTTCATAGGTTCACTGGGCATGGAGCTAGACACTGTTTCAGCAGCCTTAGGGTAGAACAGAGCCCTAGAGCCGCAAGTCCCTAGCACCCGGGCACTTTGAATTTGAACAACAGTTTCCTTGTTATTCATTTAAGATAAGTGCTTGTTGCTTAAGCAGAGTGACCTTGCTGTTGGAGTTTAGAAGGCCAAGAGAGGTGGCCCAGTGTGTGCAGCCTCCCCAGTGGGGGAACAGACCAGACCTTCAGCAGCCATACCTAAGGAAAACCTGTGCTATTTGTTTACCCTGGGCATTCCCAAACCCAGGGAGGAGGACCCAGGCATGGTGGCCTTAGCTCAGCCTAGGATTGTCAAGCTGTTCTCGCCTCTGTTTAATTAGGAAACATTTACTCAAATTATTTCAGTTCTAAGGTGACTAGGCCCAGCCTCAGCTCCCTAAGAACCCTATAGGTTGCTCTCTTACAGATAACCCTGTGGTTGATCATGACCTCTGCAGGCCCCCAGGGGGGAAGGGGAGCAGGATTGGTCTTGTCGTATCTTATATGTTCATTAGACCCTAGCCCAATGGCTTTTATGAATCGGAAAGCCTGGTTCAGATAGTTGACTGCCCTTAGAGAAAAAGGCACACATTCAGAAAGCAAAATTGCATTATTATATCCTGCACGTGTGCCTTTTCTCTTGAACTGTAAGCAATTTGATGTCAGAGTTTATGTCTTACACTTGTTTTGTAACTCGCATAAAACTTAGTGTATGCCTGGGCCGGCCCGGTGGCTTGGCGGTTGGGTGCGCGCGCTCCGCTGCTGGCGGCCCGGGTTTGGATCCCGGGCGCGCACCGAAGCACCGCTTGTCCAGCCATGCTGAGGCCGAGTCCCACATACAGCAACTGGAAGGATGTGCAGCTGTGCCATACAACTATCTACTGGGGCTTTGGGAGAAAAATAAATAAATAAAATTATTAAAAAAAAAAAAAACTTAGTGTATGCCTGTGTAGATGGTCAATAAATATTCCTTGGATTGATAGACTTTAAACCTTTTGATAATTTACTTTCTTAAAAACAGCTTTATTGAGTTATAATTCTCATACCATACAATTTGCCCATTTAAAGTATACATATAATTCTGTGGTTTTTAGTATAGTCACAGAATTGTGCATCCATCACCACAATCAACTTTACATTTCATCACCCCGGAAAGAAATTCCATAACCGTTAGCAGTCATTCCCCCCACTCGGCCCTCAGCAACCACGGATCTACTTTGTCTCTATAGATTTGCTATTCTGGATATTTCATATAAATGGAATTCTATAATATGTGGTCTTTTGTGTCTGGCTTCTTTCACTTAGCATCATGTTTTCAGAGGTTATCCATGTTGTAACATGAATCCATACTTCGTTCCTTTTTATTGCTGAATAATATCACATTGCACAAATTACCAATTTTGTTTATCCATTCATCAGTTGATGGATATTTGGGTTATTTCAACTTTTAGTATGATGCCTGTGTAAATGATTGATAAGTATTCCTTGCTTTGATAAATTTTAAACCTTTCGATAACTTACTTTCATAAAAAACTACTTGAGATATAATTCATATACATACTATACAATTCACCCATTTAAAGTGTACAATTCAGTGGTTTTTAAAATATTCAGTTGTATAGCCATTGCCACAATCCAGTTTTAGAACATTTTCATCACCCCAAAAAGAAACCCCCATACCCATTAGCAGTCACTCCCCACTTCGCCTCTTCCCAGCACTAGGCAACCACTAATCTACTTTCTGTCTCTATAGATTTTCCTATTCTGGGCATTTAATATAAATGGAATCATACAATATGTGGTGTTTTGTGTCTGGCTTCTTTCACTTAGCATGTTTTCAAGGGTCATCCGTGTTGTCACGTGCGTCGGGAGTTCATTCCTTTTTATAGCTGGATAATATTCCATTGTCTGGATAGACTACATTTTGTTTATGCATCAGCTGATGGACATTTGGGTTAGGTGGGCAACCCTGGACATGTTATGTAACCTCTTTGGGCCTCAGTTTCTTCATCTATAAAATGGTGCTATTGCTAATTCACCTATATCATGGAGTTAAATGAGTTAACCTGTATAGAGCCCCTAAAAGCAGTGCTGGCACCCAGTGAGGGCTGTAGACAAGTTGACTGGCAGTAGTCCTTGGGCATCGTACAGGTCCTTTGGCTTCTCATTTATACCATTGCTTGTATAATAGATTGGTGCCTTTACTTTTGTTTGTGGCATAAATTATAAAATATTTTAAAAAGTCACGACATTTATAAGACAATTGGGTATTTGACATTCAGGAAATATTGTTAATTTTTTAGGTGTGATACTGGTATTGTGGTTATGTTTTTTTAAAGGAGTCCTAGCTTCAAGACAGGTATTTTGAAATATTACACGTGATTTAAAATGGCGTGTGAGATTTGCTTCAAAATGATGCACAGGGAGGGCAGTGAAAAAGATTGGGTGTGTGTTGAACACTGTTGACGCTAGTAATGGGTACGTGAGGATTCTTTCTGCTGTGCTCTGTACTTTTGCGTATGTTTGCAATTCTTCATGATAAAGTTGTAAAAACATACTCATCTTTATCATCTCATTGTTTCTTCACCAAGTCTTTCATTAATTTTTAGGGAGATGTTAACCACGAATCAGTACAGCTAGATAAGTAACAGGGAGTTCTAGCAACTGTTGGCACTTCTGTAGAGCAGAGAGATGAAGCAGAGCCAAAGTGAGTCAGAGGCGTCGTAGGAGAGGATGAGGAGGAACCTGCTGCGCCTTGACTCTTAAGGCGAAAGGAGTCCGTTGTTCCGCGCACTTCCTGTCTGGGCTGCTCTTCCTGGACGTATCACACGCTGCCTGGTCCTGGCATTATTTGTCCTTCTGTTGATCTCTCTAACTGGGGTGTAAATTTCTAAAGGTCCAGAATGACTCTTACTCACTTTTGCATCCGTCATCTCAGGGACAGAAGTTTTGTGCCAAAAACTAGCTGAAGATTACGTGCAAAACAATTCAACCAGTATTTGAAAGAAAGAAACTGAAAGTTTATGCCTACAGTTTACCTCATAGCTTCCTGCTTTCTTTGTCCTTTTTAGTCACGATTTTGACCATGGGCCAGGTCCCCTTCTCTCTCCTTCCTCTTCCTGTGCTCACTCACAGCTTTATCTTCCCTCTTCTGCCCTTTTTTACTTTTTACCCAGTGAGACTGCCTGGATTCCTGGTGAAACTGTATCCAATAAAAATCACCCCCCACGCCCCTCTGCCCCTCAGAATGCCACTTCCCCCAGCACACACGCATGCACACACACTCCTACCCCTCCCCCCACTCATGGGGTAAGGAGGAAGGACTGGCATGTTGCCCGCTCCCCACTGCATGTTTCGAGCCATGTTTTTCATTTCTCCATAGCCTCCCTTAAGGAAAACCATGGTGGAGGGTGGTTTCAGATTCTGAAAGTGCATAGCACGGAAAGCAAACATCCACATGATCAAGTCTTCTGCCACCCTTCATTCCTTTGATAAACCACACCTACTGATAGCCACAGCACACTAAGCACGCTTGGCTTGTACATACTTTCTAGAATGCTATTGTGCTTCTTCCACCTCCTGAGGTGTATGCTTACTAAGGGTCATTTGTTTGTCCTCAAACCATTGGTGGAAGTTATACCACCTGTCATGACTACATAATTTATTTAAATGTTATATAAATGGAAAAAATATGAGTACAAAAAAGAGACTTGTTTCTATTAAATCAAGTTGAATGCTTTGGAAAGACTTGATAAAGAAGAGTCTCTTAAAAATGTAATGAAGTGACTGAATAAGATAACTATTAGGTTACAGGGAAAAGTAAAAATCTTGGAAGAAATCTGCACTCAGATTGCTTCCCAAGTATCTTTAAGTTTATTACACTTTAAAGACATAGGAATTGGAATTCATAGATGTATATGGTATTGTTTATCTAAGAAAGGTGGCCTGGAACCCCAAACTGATCTATATTCAGAGAGGCTTTGGCCTTATATGAAAAGATTGGCAGAGGAATGAATTGTATATTCAAATGTGCATTTTAAGTTAATGTTTATGATAGTAGTAATGTTTTATGGTTTCCCACTTAATCCAGTATTTTTTGTCAGTCATCCAACTCCTGTTCCGAGTTGGGTCAGTTAAGAGGAATAATGCCGTATTACCAAAATAATAAAAAGTGCTCCTTGAAGAAGAGTTAGAAAATGTGAGAAAAGAGAGAAGACAATAAAAATCACCTGTTTTCATAACCCAGTGAGAACATTGTTTTATAAATTTGAATTCATGCCAAATTTACAGATCAGTGTGCAATCATGAATAATGTGAGTAATCTTTGTCTCTACAAAATCCATAGTATTTGCATATTTCCCCATCTCCAGCAAATGCCCATCGTACACGATCTTCCTAGATGGATTCAGTACCTGACAGGAGTAGCCTCTATTCTGCCCTCTGTTTCAGTGTTGTTGGAGTTCTTCCTATGTCGCATCTGCTGTACTTATCATAATCTCTATATTCAGATGGTTTTTCCAGCCAGGTGTATATAATGTTAATTCCT